AGACTGACTTTTCTCGATTAGATCTGGAGTTCTGTCAATAAAAGCTGTTGATGGTTTTGTGGATATGATTGGACATGGGTCACTGCTACTGGTACCATCTAGATACAATGCAGTATCATCACATTCACATCTTTTTTTGTATTCAATCAAAGCGGAAGAACAACAAAATGCTGGCCATGATTTTCTGATGAGAATGGTCTGTTTCAATAATGTATCAGTTTCACTAGGGTCAGTTAGGGGAGGCATCCATACACCACCCTGATAGCATTCAATCTTTCCTGATAGACTCACAACATTAGCTGTACAGTCTATTGAGACCCAGTCTCCACCCTTTCCTTCACCCACGACACATGATGCCTCACCAGGAGGAGAGAGAACCTCTAGCCAAATCCTGTGTGTTTGATCAACTAGTATCTCCCCATCCTTGTATACAGATGAAATGTATGTCCCTTGATCAATGCTCAGTAGCTTACTTATTGTAAACCCCAGAGCGCAATTGTCAGTGTTATTTCTATTCTGAACCTTGAATCTTTGTACCTGATCTTGTGTCAAAGACAGTGATGACCCATCTGTAGAGCGATAAAATGGGACTCTGTACGAATGCTGTAATGTGACCTCTGTACTATCACATGGGTAAGGGAAATGTAAGGTTACTTGTTGTCCTTGTACATAGGATACTGCCTTAACTTGATGTTTATTTATAAGAAGTATTGTGATCAAAACGATTATTTTTGCCATAGTGCATTTGAATACAGTCTTCTTCCCAAACTTTTAACCTGGTTACCTATTATAACGGTAGAAACAAATTCCTTAATTTACACCCCCAAAAATGTTAAAAATTAACATGTAGAATGGAAAAAAGCTATTGACAGAACTGGATTCATAGTGTATTGTTTAAAATAATATTGAAGTAAAAAAAAAAAACCTTCAAGATGACAACCTTGACGTGGTCCAACCTGTTTTCAAGTAATGTCATCAAATTAATGTTTGCAGCGCCTTAGTACTCTGCAAGATTGAAGACCATGTCCATCATAGATATGTCAACAGATGCCCACAGATGACTGCTGAAGTTAATCGGTTGACTGCTGTTACAATTTCACGAACTGGAGAAACGTAGTACATGACAAATCCCTTTCCAGGAAAAGAATCTTGGCCAAGATTACTGGATTTTTACACAGCTGTTCAATGAATATATTTGATAAGTTGGTTTTATCACAAAACAGGAATGTTTCGTACTTTCTAATCAGTTCATGATAATGTTGACTGCATCTCAAAACTGACAGTTATATTCACTTGGGAAGCTTACTCACTTATTTTCTGTTGGTTTTATCTTTCATATTCTACAAGAACGAGATACAGGTCAATTGGATAGAACTAGACTGCTGTTTCCTTTTAAGCATTTATCTTTGCAGATTCTCCATTTCAGCTCCAAATAGGGGATGTAGTTCTTGATATCAAAAGAATCCCACCTGGGAGGACTTCACATTCACAGATGATTCTGGCAAAAAAAAAAGAGTAAAAACACTATAAAAACTAGACATAATACTTGTTTGGAACAAGTATAGGTGGGCTGGTCAACTAAAATTTGAAAAAAAATAGAGCAAAATTAAGCGAGATACTGCTTAAAAATTCTTAATAAACAATATCATGTAGATTCATTACGTGAACGAAAATCACCTTCTATAGTCATAACACGCAAATTGTGAAATTTCTGACATGAGGCCTTTAATCGAAATTTTCACTCTGATAACGTCATCAAAATGAAAAATGATCATTATTGAACTTGTAGAGAATTATCTTAGCTACAACATCGAAATTTTGAAGAAAATCGATCAATATATACAGAGAAACAATTAATTTTCCATAAATATGCTGACGTCATAATATGCAAATTCCTACTTTTAGTTCGAAGGCCATTATGATGATGTCAAAATAATTTTAATAGCCAAAAGAGACTTCAAATCATATTTCCGACTCATTCTCTATCAAAATATGAAAAAATATTGGGGGTCCATTTCCATCCCAAAGAGCTATAATGGAATTTGTATAGGCATGTTTTTGCCCATATATGGTATGTATTACAAGAGCTCGCGCGCACAGACATTTATCTTGAATGGACGCTCATCTTTTTCTCAATGGTCATAAAGAGATAAACATGGTATCAAATTGTTCGCAAAAATATGAGAAATATCATGAAAGAAAAAAAATGGCGATTCTATGTTTTGTAATGGTGTTACGCGCGAAAACGCGCGCGCATGCGCGTGTGCGCGATTTTTTATAAAATGCTTAAAATGACTTGAAACGTATGCAAAATAAATTTGAGACGATTTTGAGCATTTTGAAATTTTGCGCGCGCACTGACGCGCGGACGTACGCGCACGCGCGCGTTATTTGACCTGAAATTGACCGGACGGATATTGACCTCGATCATGATAAATATGAATGAGAAATAACTTTTGGTTATGAAGATATGATCATGAGTTTATTTTCAGAAAATTTCACAAAATGGCGCCTAGATGACGTCATCAGTCAAGGTCAAGGTTGAAAACCTTACCGCGCTTTGTCCATATGCCTATACATATGTGTGCCAAATTTCAATTTATTTGATTAAGCCATTTTCAAGTTATCTTGCTAACAAAAAAGTGGTAAGAATTAAGAAAAATAAATAATAAAGAATAAATAAAGGCGATTTTAACAAAAATATAAGGTGGTCTGTATTAGATACAGCCCACCTGATAAGCACAAAAAAAAGTAAAAACACTATAAAAATAAGAAATATTTGCCAATTTTGTGAGTGGGTGGTTCAGATTTGCAAATGGTTCAGATTTTTGAGTCACAGTACTAATTTTTTGCAAATTGTAAATTATTAATACTTTGAAATAGCTGTCATTGATTTGCAAAAGTGTTTTTTTCCCTCCCAGTACTTTGAACATTACCATTTATTAGACTCATAATCTGACATTACATGACTGCTTAAATAATGTGCAGCAAGGAAAAATAATTGCCCAGTTTCCACTCAGTATTTAAAAAGTTCATTCCAGTCTCAAGAGATGTGATTTGCTTCTTATAAAGTCAAGTGTACTTACCGTGTATGTTAGTGAAGTGGAGTCAAACAGCTTAAGTCCTTAGGCAACAACCCCTATGCCAAACTACATGTAAAGTGGTTGTTCAATACAGTACCTGTTGCTTCTACTTCAAGATGTGCTTTTGGTGATGTGTTAATGATTTTTGCATGGACACTTCATTGTTAGGTTAAAAATAGAAAAATGAGAATAATATCTGGAATCTTATCACTCAAAGTCAGCATGTGCAAATTTCAAGTACCAGTTAGTTATTTATCAGTGAATTTGTTTTATTATAAATACTTGAAGTATAAGTTCGACTTTGCATCATTACTATGATAAGTAGTGGTTTTTTCCAAATGTTTTTATTATGATTGTGGATGATATTATCAAGATGATCTGAATCAAGTAGCCACTTGAAGGATGCATTCTCGGCCACTTGAGCCCTCACTATTGACTCAGATCATTGATATGGCTTCTTTTAATGGCAAACATACTTGAAGTATAACTTCGACTTTGCATTAGTATGATAAGCTGAAAGTTAATACCCAACCTCTTGTAGCAAACAGGAATTCATGTTTTTTTTAAAATCCAGAACAAGACATCAATAATAGAATTATTAACTTACTTTTGAGTAAAGGAAGTATCCCTGGAGAGTGATAGATATGGTAATCATTAGGAAAGTAAATGTGTTATGGGTTCAAGGTCAATTTGAATGTGGGTTACCTTTATTTCCTGAATAGAAAAAAGGTTTGTCGATTTTTACACATGAATTATATTAGATCACTTTCTGTTCAAAAAAAGCTGAGGAGAAGGCAGAGAAATATGAAATCATGTGATCAAGATGCCATGATTTCAAGTCTAAATTTGAATCGATTTTTTTTGTTCATGAACTTTATCAACCTTTGTATAATCCATGTTACTATTAGAATCATCATCATCATCATTTAAAGTTGTGTTTGTGTGTTTATATATGTGTGTGTGAGTGTGTTGGGGGGGGGGGGGTAATTTGCCTTCATTCTTCTCCCACATAATTTCTTGTGTAGGTGTCCTTCAAGGGTTAGGATGACATGGTTTGATCTAAGGCCCTTCAGGTTTCATACATCAAGGCCTCCCCCTTAAAACTTTGATACTTTGTTTTTCCTTATCATGTTACTGAGTGTCTTTTTTTTTTTCAATTTCAAAAATATGATTTGGGTACTCTATGTTTTGTCCTAATGCTGGCTTTCCTTGATATGGAAGATATGTGTTCATCTAATTTTTATGAGCCCATTGACTATCAAATTCTCATATTTCCTATAAGTTTAATACAGGAGCCACCTGGTTTCAGTAGGCAATGAGTTAACTGCTGTCCTTCTCGATGACATGTGAAATGTGAAATTGTGCTCATTTAAATGAATGAAACCCCCATAAAGTGAGTGATAATGATGAGTGACCCTAATAAATGTTTCACTTTGTAAGATACATCTTCATTGATATGAACCTAACCACCTTTGGACAAAGATCGTTATTGCAACGATGTCATAATATATGTACCAGAAACTCAACGTACAACCCATATTACTTCGAATGAAGGTTGAGATATATTGGTACATGTAGCTTTGTAGTCATCTTTCCATTGTGGACTTATATCAATTCTCCAAGTGTATCTGTCCTGATCACATCTCATCAGATATTTTGTTAATTTAAAGTTGAGGGAGCTAGACAATTGCCAAACCCAGTGCCATTGATTAGGAGAGTTTGGCCAACCCGGTATGAGTTGGAAACAATATGGCGACTACTGCTTTGTTGGGCAAGCACAAAACAAAAGAATATACGCCATGTTGTAACCCAGTGAAATCAAGTTGGCCAAACTCTGTGTATAGATGGCTCTGGCCATACTTTTTAGGGCCCACTGTCACAGTTTTTTAATTTCAACGTGTTTTTATGTTTGTTTAGGGAAGACATCAAGGGACTGAACTGGGCAGCGCCCTCTGACTGTTTTGCCAAGGTCACTCAGCTCCTCAAACTACCGACCTTCCAGTACCATGTTCTTCTGGGTTTGACTGTGAGCGTAGGAGGCCTAACAGAGTCTTTGGTAAGCTGAAGCCTTTTTTACAATGTTAAAGTGTTAATTGATTGTTGAAATTTTACACGCACACATACTGTGCATGTTTAGTTTAAGATCAATATGTCTGGGTGATGTTTGCTAATATGTCTCCTTTTTTCACTCCGTTTTCCTGATATGTCTTCCTCCATCTATCTTTTTTTTTTTACCTTATCCTATCTCTGTTTTAAAAATATGTTTACTTGTCTGGTTTTTTTTTTCTCTCCTTCGTTTCTTTCTCTCTCTCTCTCTCTCATTGTAGTCTGTCTATCACTTCCTTCCCATCATGCTTTTTGTTCGCCTCTATTTTTCTTTACTCTTTTGCTCTCACACTCACTTTCTATCGTCTGTCTCGCCTTCATCATTCTGTCGCTGTACACCCATCTCTCTAAATCTATCTGTGCATACTCAATAGGAATATTATGTAATATTTCATTTTTACTTCTTTGTTTCATGCGTGTAGAAGAAGTATCCTGCCTGATCTTGTCTGTCCTTTATCATTCTCGTAAATGCCAGTGTATAAGACGCACCTGTGTATAAGACGCACGCCTATTACTTGGGGGCAATTTTGTCTCGCCTGCGTAGCAAAAAGCGAGACATAGGCGTCGCTTTTCCGGTGACGGCGACGGCGTCAACATCAAAAACTTAACCTAAGGTTAAGTTTTTGAATTTTTGATATAATTTTTAAAGGATAAATTCTTAGTCAATGAAACTTTGACTATAGGGTAATCAAGTATCCCCAATCATGTGAGTAGAATTTCAGATCACAAAGTCAAGGTCAAATGTCATTTCAGGTCAACAGACTTGGACTATGTTGTAGCATCATCATCGAAAACTTAACCTAAGGCTAAGTTTTTGAATTTTTGATATAATTTTGAAAGTATAAGTTCTTAGTCAATGAAACTTGGACTATAGGGTTATCAAGTCTCCCCAATCATGTGAGTAGAATTTCAGGTCACTAAGTTAAGGTCAAAGGTCATTTAAGGTCAACAAACTTAGACTTTGTTGTGGCATCAACATCAAGATTTTCAAAATGCTTCTTCTTCGTTATTTTTCAACCGATTTTGATTCTGATTGTTTCATATGATAGAGCTAGGAGGGGGATTTAAAATTTTTACACAGAATCGTGAAATTCATTATCTATGCTAATTTATGCAAATTTATTCGAAATCACAAAAAAGGCTGCTTCTCCTTCATTTCTTGACCGATTTTGATTTGGTTTTCTTTATATCGTAGAGCTAACTTTGGTACACTAAACTTCTACACAGAATTTTGAAATTGTTCTCCATTAATTAATTATGGTAATTTATGCAAATTTATTCCAAAAATAACACAAATTGCTTCTTTTCCCTCATTTCTTGACAGATTTTGATTTGGTTTGCCTTATCTGGTAGAGCTAAATTTGGAACACTAAACTTCTACACAGAATTGTGAGATTTTGCTCCATTGATTATTTATGGTACTTTATGCATATGAAATGAAATTATGTCCCTTCCAGGGCATCAAATTTTTATTTTTTGACCAGTTCAAAAGTGTACCACATAAAATTTACGATATTTGTTGTTGCGAGATGTGGATGAGCGCTACGTCATTGACGTTCTGGTTTATCATATTGAATTGCGTTATGCAGGCGAGACCGCCGAGAGCGTTTCCCTTGTTTTTTTTTTTCTGACTCCGTAGGCAGCAAGCTAGATCCGTGCTCAAAAACGCATGCGGGGAACGACCTTTCTTTTACTGTGAGGTGCAGTTGAAGGCGCCGATGTGTTCTTGTGAACTTGTCACAAATAAGAGTAACAATGTCATTTTTAAAACTAAAGATGACAGACAAATCCAAACAGAAATCCGGCCATACAGGTAGAGTTGTTGTAGTTCAATCCTACAGTTTGATGCTGTGCCATCACTATAACCCAGGTGACAAATAGTGATAGTACATTCCTGTTGCAACTTTGTAACCTGGATTACAGATTATATAATCTAGTATAGTTTTACTTTGCCACTTCAAATAACTTCCTACAGTATCTTACTGTGACTGTATTGGTGCGAGTGGTGAGTCAACACACCTTTTATGACTGAGCTGGGAGACATTGCCAGGCACAGTGCAGGTGGAGGGGGCATAAATCGACAATTAAAAAAAAAAAAAAAAAAATTGTTTTTGTTTTTGTTTTGTTGTACCTGTGTCTAAGACGCACCCCAGACTCACAATTTTTTTTGGCAGGAAAAAAGTGTCTTATACACAGAGATTACGGTATGTGCAGTTTAGCTGATGACTTGACTAGATTCACTGATAACCTACTCAAGAACTTTACCGGCTTTCTTACCATCTATCCTTCTGTCAGTCTATTCATCCCCCTTCTCTTTCTCTCTCTCTCTCCTCTTTACTCTCTCTCCCCTTCACTCTCTACCTTCACTCTCTACCTCAAATACGATTTTCTGTAATGTTTTGGTCTTATATTTTGGTTAAGAAGAAGCACTCTACCAAATCCCTTCTATCCTTCTTCAAGACGTGCAGCTCAACTGAAGACCTTACTAGATCCACTGAAAACTTTAAGATTATCACTGTCTTCTCTCTATTAGTCTATCCCCCTCCCCTCTCTCCTTCATTCTCTTATATCCCACCTGTTTGTGTTATGTCTCAATTCTTATATTTTTTTTGTTTAGGTGAAGCACTCTGCCCAGTCTCTTCTGTCCTTTATCAAGACGTGCAGCTCAACTGAAGACCTGACTAGATTCACCGACAATCTTCTCAAGATATTCACCGACTATCAGAAAGTGGACAGGTGAGTGGACCAGATTCAAGCCCTGTTTCATAAATCTGGCTATCAATAACAACTGCTAAATTTCTATGACAAATTTGCTCTCAGTCAATCAAATGCAACAATTTTAGTAGCTTACAACAGTCATTGTAACCTGTTATTGATAACAGGTTTTATGAAACTGACAGGTTCGAGCCCTGGCACAGCACTACTGTCCACTGACAATACATTGATCTATATTTGCCACTCTTCAGTGACATGTTAATGAATTCCTTGAATGCTCTGAGTTCTGAAATTGCTTAGTTAGCTCGAAGTGCCTTCTTGATTAAGAAGTAGGAATGTGTATTTTGTACATCTATTGATGTTGAAAATGATGGTTAAGACAATGGGCATTCACATGAATCTTTTAAGTTAATTTCATTGCTCATATTGCCATCCAATTACTATTCAATACAGAATCATGCACCATTTGTATTTTACAACTATTTATTTGTTGAAAATGTTTTCACAGAGTTTCTGTACCGTTGATGAAGATGATCAACCTCCTGCTATCCAGTGGAAGCTTTGAAACCTTCGTGGAGGACCCTAGGTAAGGATATATACATGTAGAGCTAGCTTATCTGTAGAGTCGGTGTGGTCTAGTGGTTAGGTCACTGATGCTGATCAGTGAAGTTTAGGTGTCATGCTGGAGTTGCTGATTGGCCACCATAGTTTCTTGTATTGTCCACTAAACATTCATTTTCTGAATTAATACTGCACCCCAAATATGCATATACATGTTAATGGTTTGCAATGGTAAGACAGTCAGTGGTATTCTAATATCTTGTATTTACAAGCATATCTGCTATATGATATCTTAGAGAAAGGAAACAAGAGATTTTACAGATGACAACTTTAGTACGGAAAACACTAGACCTCTCCTAGAAATTTGTGTAGCATATAATGTAGTAAAGGTGGTTGATCGTTTGGGCATTCAGATGAGATAGATGGTTTGTTCGTAATTATTATTAGGATTATTACCATTATTATTATAGTTATTAACTATTGTCAATATTGTTGTTGTTGCTATTATGATCAATACTATCTCACTATCTTTCTCCAGTCATTCGTTTCCACTGAACCTCCTGCAACTGGTAAAGAAGGAGGTTGCCAAGACAGGCGATGCCCAAAAGCTTCTCACAAGCATAGAAGTGTGAGTCACATCACTGATAATTTGATATATTTTTGTTCCTTTTTCTTGCATTATGATACTAGTAATCAATGAGTGAACATGAAATGTTAAATACCAAATTTTAAAATAAATCATCACTAAAATCATACATTTCAGTAGGGAAATTGTTTACCAGTTTTTGCTGTCCCTTTGATTAACATGTTTTTAAAAATAATCACAATCCAGTAGTATTGTCATTGCATTTACACACAAATTCTTTGATTTTAAATTAATAGTATCGGACCCATAGCACACCCCTGTGGAACACCTCCATGTGCATTAAGCCCACAAATGCCCATCATGGACTTCTGATATATTGAAAGTACTATTTTAAACAACTAGTTTTTATTCATTTCAGGTTCTGTGGTATGATTCAGTTTGTTGGTGAACCTAGGAAGAAGAGCCTTATTCAACTCATGGTATTCCTCTGTCATAAGTACCCAAAGGTAATCACATCTTCAAAATTCTCGCTACCGCATATAGCAATATACATTCCCATAAAGCATTGCGCCCCTGGTACATTTGCAATTTTGCTGCAACACAAGCGGCTTATTTTCCCAAGCCGTGATTGTGTGGTTGTCAGTAATTACAGCGGAGTCACTTTTTAATAAATTTACATCATAGAGATTTAGGCAAAACTACATTTTGTCATTCTTAGTCATATTGACAACGAAATGTGAGTCTAATACTGTGTGGCCTTATTTGGAAGTTCTTGTGACTACAACATCTTGGCAAATTTGCCAGTAAAAATAGAGTGCCACTTTCGTTTGCTTGTTTCCAGCTATATGGGGTAGGGAGAATTATAACTTGCATAGTAAAATATTATCTGATTCCTTGTGTGTGTTGTATTGAGTTCATTAAATAAGTGGGTGCATGTGTATCAAATAATAGTCTTCTCCTGCCTTGCAAGATTACTGATAGTGACCCATGGTTTAATACTGAAAAAGTGATATTTTTTAAACCCTAAATTGCACCGAGCAATCCTTTTGATTTGCTTTTGAATCTGAAGAGAGTTTAAACAATGTTTTTTTTCTTCATTCTACTCATTTGTATATTTTAAAATGTAAGCGATTTTCATTGAAAGCTTAGATTTATATTGGATACATTTACACACAATTTACACACTAACAGATGATTACCAGTATTTACAATTATGTGCAGTTTGTACATTTTAGCAATGTCGGTTAGATTTTCACACAATTCAAACATTTTACTCTCTACAGTACTGCAGATATTTAATGCAGTCACACCTGTCTATTAAGGCCACCCAAGGGAAACACAGAAATTGATCACTCTAGACAGGTGGCCTTTGTAGACAGGTTCTTCAATACATGTTTACTTCTAGAGGGAGGCAATATGAGTGACCACTATAGACAGGTGGCCTCTAAAGAGAGGTGGCCACTAAGACAGGTCAGACTGTAGAACCTTTACCCTTGTATGAACCCAGATGAAATGTCCAGCTTTCTCATTCCTACGTTCCTAGATAAGAGGAACCACTGCTAACACACTCTATGAGACGTTGATGGTCTATGATGACATCGTGGACGAGGAGAAGCAGGAGGAGGTCATGACGATACTCATGGAAACAAACTGGTCAGTATCAATTCAGGAGTCCACTCCAGTGTCTATTCCACTGTATGAAAGCCCCACTGCGCTAGTTTGGCCAGGAGGGATTAGACCTCCCTGCATGGTAACTGACGGGTGGTTATCTCATCAAATCAGCTCTCAATTAACATAAGAAAAAGGGGATCATGGGGGACCACTGGTCACCGATTAGGCATGTTTGCTATAAAGAGGGCGAAAGTAGCTATAAGTAGTGCAGTGGGGCTTTAGTGTGTCAGTAAAATACTGTTAGAAAGACAATAATGGATGGATGGGTGCATTTAGAAAAACACTTTTACCAGAAGTTTATTGGAACCAGACACTTCTTTTTTCGATATGAGCACTTGGACAGCGCAGTGTGGTCTTTTAAAATCAGTCATGATGTTGTGGGTTTTAATCCTAGCCTGACATTTATACCTTTAGGAGACTTGTTTATTTGATGATGTTTGTTTTACCTGACTGCTATTAAAGAAAGCATGTACATATGCTTGTAAGTAAAAAGACCCAGGGGACCGGTGACTTAAGTCCTCTCCTAGGGACTTGCTGATGAGGATTAATGCCTTACAAAAGGGCACGAGCGCATTGACTTGGCTTCGAACCTGGTTAGGAGACCACTGCTCTAACACTGAGCCATTATGCCTTTAGGGAAACACAAGTTAATGTACATCCTGAAAGCCTTTATTTAATCATTCCACAAATCATTCCCACTTCAGAAGAGAGTGTTCGCTTGCAAATAATGAAAGGAATCGGACTTGAACTAGTGGGATTTATTATGTTGCAGCTATATTTTATCTACAGTTGTCTCTCATAAGTGAATGAGTAAGTGGAAAAGGCTAGTGTCTGAATGCCTTCTATGCTCTATCTAACACTTCAGCTGCACAAGGCAAGGATTAGAGTTGTGATATTCCAATGAACGTGAAAGTTGGTATGTTGATTGGATTACCAAATTACACTATACTGCCTGTCAGATATGAATAGAGGACGTACCACGCCAAAAACATTATTCACTTTTGTGAACCTTTCTGTCTTTATTGCATGTATTGAAAGTATACTTTTTGTGTATTGTCCCCCCACAGGCAAGAATCACAGGCCAAATGTAGACCAGTCAGGAACCACATCTGTGACTTGCTGGAAGTGCCCCAGCCCGTTCTGAAGGTACGCTTTACATGCCTTGAGAATGAAAGACATCTTAAACAAATAAACAGAATAAAGTTTATATATAAGCATTTACTGTCGATTTGGTCGCATTTGGGGGGAAAGTCGCAAGGTTCTCCATAATATGATGTCTCATTTCATTTCATTTTAAGGCATATCCACAATAATTTGTCCAAAAAAAAAAAAATCTCATTTTGGGTATTTCCTTTTTACCTGATACCTATCTGTTCTCATTCATGCTCTCTATGAAAATCATTTGTAAATGAGGAGTTATATTAAATAGAAGAAAAATACACTAGAATGTTTAAGTAATACAAATATTCAAACAAATTATATGAATGTTTTAATGATATAAATATAATTTCAAAAAATATTCTGAAGATTTCTTTTTTGGTACATTACTAGTACATTTTGCTAATTATTGGATACCTTTATCATAATCTATGTAAATATCACACTTATAATTGTTATTATACTACTTGTAGTATTATTGTTAGTGTTATGATTATTCCTTAAATTATTATTTTCTTGATAATTTTTCTGTTATCACAGAACCCTCAGGCTGGTAAAGCTAAGAAGCAAGAGGATGCTAATGACCAGATGGACAGTTATCAAGGTACAGTACTTGGTTTTTTCCTCTTCAAATGTTCTTAATGTAGATGGTGACCTTCCTCCTACACTGCGGAGGTCAGCAATTGTGTAGATACGATACTGGGGTAGACGACGAGGAAAGGTATCTTCCGGCTTCCATAGAGAATGTGGAGCAGTGTCAGCTAATTCCTTATTTAAGTAAACTATTGTTCAGGTTTCATGAACTCTCCCAATGATTTGACGAGATCTATATGTAGGCACCATCATAATATATTACTTATAGTTTATTGGTTCTGAAACCATCATTTCTATCGGACTCACCAGTTCTCGACTCATTGTATTTGTATGGGAACCAGAAGTGCCTTTGCGAAATATATCCATGGCCTGTGCTGCCCTCTATGGCCAAAGATCGTAGTTGTGGTAATGAGAATTGGCAGTTCATTAGGTCATAAAGTGTATTAGGAAAGAAGTGGAATCAATGCTTGCAGGCTAATGGTTTAACAAGTATATTTGGTAACATATTTAATATTGTTATTCATTCTTTTTTTCTTCTTTTTTTTCTTCTTGCAGATCTCGTGTCAAGATTGGGATACTGAGGAGCAGAATATCATCTACTGATTCCCATAAGTGCTGATGAGTCATCAGAATATAATTACAATTTCTCCTGTATTTAAAATATAGGAAATATGTAAATGAGAAAAGTATTCTTGCATTTATGTAGAGTTAAATGAGCAATTTAATGCACTGAAATCTAATTGCAATGTGGCTAATATGAAAGTTTTCATATGACCTGCCCAATCTTTTATGATTAAATGAAGAAAAAATCCTGTGAAAGCTAGATGACTTGTGGAAGCCATCCAGTAGACTAATAGTCAATGAGACTGATGGAAACCAACAGCCTGTGAGATTGACATTGTCTGTCTTATGAGCTTTCCATCATGTTGTCAGGTCTTTAAAACCTACCTGTTGATGTAGTGGACTTTTGATTTCTGGACTGTCGGTTTTTGTGGGATGTAGCCGTGGAAGCAATTTACCAGAAACAAATCAAATGTAACTGTGCCATTAAGAATAACATCTCTTTATCTTTGTCAATTTTCCAGTGTTTCAAGATCTTTGTAATGATATATTGCTAGGTATTATGATGCATTTATATTGACAATGTAACCCAGGCCTAACCTGGGTCAGATGATTTGGTCTGATGCAAGTGAGTTCAGTTGAAATAGTCGGTCTTGCGCAAAAGTAGTCCTGGTATCCGGCAGTGTATGTGCATGTCTCCTGGTTTAACAGTGGATTAAATGACAGGCCAACATTCCAAATTTTAAAAGATAAGTTTTCTGGCAGTTGTTCTGCTGTTTTTTGTTGTTGTATTGTAGGTAATGAATTGTTATCAGCCATGTCGTTGAATCTTTCTTATTTGTATTATGCATGAAATGTTATGCAGATCAGTTTAGTACAAGCATGAACTGGATTAGCATTTTTGGTAAATTTGGGTCATGCAATCAAATTAAATATTATCAATATTAAATATTAAATATTAAGAAGTAGACACTTTGAAGGAAATCTGTGTCTATTGTTATTTTGGAATAGCCAGGATTTTGAAACAAGAGGTGTCTGCAAAATACTTGTCTGCATTCTAAGACCGCTATCAAAAATAAGGGGCATAAGGGTGCAAAAACACATGTGCTTAAAATACAACTTACACTGTCCATGCTTTTTTATATAAATATATATATATGAAACTGCCTTCAAATTACTGTTTCATTGTTTTGCTGTGTGTGATGTACAGATATAATTTCCTTGTAACTAATGTATAGAGTTTACAAATAAACGTGCTTGTGATTTGTATTCTTTCTAAAGCTTTGTTCAAAATGTACATAATTTCTTATCAAATTTATATTTATTTGATGTAAAAAGTATCTATCAAACTACTTGTACATGCTTGATTGTCCATGCTTGAAATTTTCTTTCCTTCATATGTTGTGTTTAGTTTGATAATCCATGCAGTGTAGATTTATATTATGTAACTAGTAGGTTATATTTTGTAACTTGTCTGCTCTAATCCACTGATAGGTTGACATAATTGATTTCTTTAATTGTTCATCGTTTGAAAGTAGAGATTATACTCAGTAATGGTATAATTGCTCTAATAGTAACAACTGATAATAATGACTGATAGGGACAACAAGCCTTCTCTATCAATGATAGCCCTGACTTGTGAGAACTGAGAATTCATTTTCTCCTTTTGTGCTCCATTATCAGATTTTCATTCTTATTGGTTATTTTGAAGTCACATTCTGAATATGATCATTCCTCTGTAATACATGTTGTCTGTTACATAGACATTATAATTTGTCCTTAGAAAAGATCTTCGTCAAAGCATAAAGCTAGTTTTTGTTTACATTTCACAGACATGCAGTATATATAATGTGGCCCAGTGATTTACCTTAACATGATGATTTCTTAAACATAGCCTTATATGTTGGACAATCGTTAAAAAGGGCTGAACTATTCAATGAAAAAATGAAGAAAACATAATGTCTCTCATAATGTAATAAATTAAACCTTAATCATAATCGCTTTGTGAAACTTTATTTGAGGCCAGAGTCTGACTCAGTCTTTAGTGGAATGTGGGCATTAAAGTGTAACAATCACCAACAATAATTTGTTTTGAATATATTCAAAATATGAGCTTCAAATATTACTTTTGTAAAGAGATTTTGCAAGTTAAAATACTCTCTTGATTAACGTAAAAAGGGCTCGCATGGCACCAATGTAAGACTTGGGTTCTGTGTGCGAAACTTATTGTTATTGTCATATAGTCTAGCCTATGGGTCGGAGAGGGGAGGGGGGGGGGGGGGGGGTTGTCAGGATGCAGAATATCAATCCGGCCATACACATGCATAACTAGTAGATAGTAGTAATACTCTAAAGAATTCTTCCAGAAAAGTAATGATTTTCGGCCCCCCCCCCCCCACCCTATCCAGGCCATCTCCCTCACTCTCAATTTCTCTTTGTCTTTCTCTCTCTCTCTCTCTCTCTCACTCTCTCTCTCTCTCTCTATCTGTCTATTCTCTCTCTCTCTTTCTCAATATATATCTCTCATTTAAGATTTAATTGATAATTTTGTGCATCATCCATTGTTATGATGTAAATGTTTGTCATGTCATTCTTGTTCTTTGTGATGGAACTTAATGCTTGAGGGCAACAGTGTTTAGATTCACCCTTTCAGTTACTGTCAAAATCCATGCATGTTATCTTTAATATGTTATGTTGATTTGCTAAATAAAATGATGATAAGAGGAATCACTTGGTAATGTGTGATGTGTTGCTTGAAGAACCGTCCCATTTGGTTTCTGCACATATTAATTAAGTATCCCTCTTCTCATGTGATGGGGAAAAATATGTTTAATTGGTGGACATTTAAATATGTTAACCATAGTGTGACAGAAAAAAGGCTTTTCTATCTCGTTGAAATGAAAAAAGATGAATATAATAAAAATAATAATATTAGACATTTATATAGCGCACATATCCACCATGCATGGTGCTTAAGGCTCTCAAACTATTACCCCGACTCTGCTAGGCAGCCGATTTCGGCGCTCACAGCATTCAAGGAATTCCTTCCTACCGGTACCCATTTAACAGCTGGGTGAAGAGTGGCAAATTAATGTAGATTAATATCTTGCCAAAGGACATTAATGCCGTGGCGGGACTCGAACCGGGACCCTGTGATTCACAGTCCAACGACTTATCCACTAGACCACAACATATATCACATATATTTATATACATTTATATTTGAAAGAAAATAAAACAAATTCAGGAGTTTTCCTGTATGACATCATGTATTATGACTGAATTACGATTAGGTCCCCATATTTGTAGTGAGCTATTTTTTTTTTTTTGGGGGGGGGGGGGAATTATACTTTCTCATTTTGTATTCAATATATTTCGAATTTTCACTTATGTTTTCCTGTGGTTCTTCGGCTTTCAGGGTGAGGTTGAGTAAGAGGACACTTTATTTTCTTTTTTTTGTCTCGAAATTTGAAAATTTGACATTTTGTTCCGTGGGGGGGGGGGGGGGGGGGGGGGGGGGTTAGGTCACCTGTTTTGGGTCAGCCATTGGCATAATATTTTTTTTTTTTTTAAATTAAAAAAAACAAAAAATCAAAAGGGGGGGGGGGTTAACCCCCCCCCCCCTGCGTACGCGCCTGAGTCTGTCTGCTAATTACTCTATTATATGAGTTAGCCCGTATCCATTTAATAAACAGGTGTACATACGAAAGTAATAAATACAAGTATTACAATTCATTTATATCATTTCATTGCAATAATTTATTTCTACTTCAAGATGAATACAATAATATATGATATTCAAAATACAAACATATGTGACGAAATATCTAAAGTGGGAGGATCATGGAAGGAACATAATTGGCTTGATAAAAATGATCCTCACAAAAAACATGTAATATCAAACAAAATGCAAATCATAATGTGAAGTGTTCTCAAGTCTTACAAAGTTTCAACCAATTATTGACGAACTTGGTGTTTACAAAATAAACTCTAAGGTAAATCCAAAACTCTCCTTTTTATGATATACGAAATCACAGAGAAATACAATTTTATTTTCATATTATCACCAGACATGGAACCACTGCCCCATACAAACTATATTTTACAAAGTCTTAAAGTGAAGTCTTAAGAAGTCCCATCCAAGTGACGAACTTGATTTAAAAAGAATATACTCTAAGGTAAATCCATAGCCTTTCTTTTTTTGTGATATACAAAATCACAAACAGAGTCAATTATATTTTCATATTAGCACCAGGCATGAAACCACTACCATAAAACTTATATCTTCCATAGTCTTAAAGTCGAGTCTTAAGAAGTCTCATTCAAGTGACGAACTTGCTTTAAACAGACTCTAAGGTAAATTCATAGCTCTTCTTTTTGTGATATACAAAATCACAAACAAAGTCAATTTTATTTTCATATTATCACCAGGCATGGAACCACTACCATAAAACTTATATCTTCCATAGTCTTAAAGTCGAGTCTTAAGAAGTCTCATTCAAGTGACGAACTTGCTTTAAAAAGAATATACTCTAAGGTAAATCCATAGCCCTTCTTTTTTGTGATATACAAAATCACAAACAAAGTCAATTATATTTTCATATTACCACCAGGCATGGAACCACTACCATAAAACTTATATCTTCCATAGTCTTAAAGTCGAGTCTTAAGAAGTCTCATTCAAGTGACGAACTTGCTTTAAAAAGAATATACTCTAAGGTAAATCCATAGCCCTTCTTTTTTGTGATATACAAAATCACAAACAAAGTCAATTATATTTTCATATTATCACCGGGCATGGAACCACTACCATAAAACTTATATCTTCCATAGTCTTAAAGTCGAGTCTTAAGAAGTCTCATTCAAGTGACGAACCTGCTTTAAACAGACTCTAAGGTAAATCCATAGCTCTTCTTTTTTGTGATATACAAAATCACAAAGTCAATTTTATTTTCATATTATCACCAGACATGGAACCACTGACCCATCTTACAAAGTCTTAAAGTCAAGTGACGAACTTGCTTTAAAAAGAATAGACTGTAAGGTAAATCCATAGCCCTTCTTTTTTGTGATATACAAAATCACAAAGTCAATTATATTTTCATATTATCACCAGACATGGAACCACTACCATAAAACTTATATCTTACAAAGTCTTAAAGTCAAGTCTTAAGAAGTCCCATCCAAGTGACGAACTTGCTTTAAAAAGAATAAATTTAAGGTAAATCCATAGCTCTTCTTTTTGTGATATACAAAATCACAAAGTCAATTTTATTTTCATATTATCACCAGGCATGGAACCACTGCCCCATACAAACTATATCTTACAAGGTTTAAAGTCAAGTCTTAAGAAGTCCCATCCAAGTGACGAACTTGCTTTAAAAAAAATAGATTTAAGGTAAATTCATAGCTCATCTTTTCATAATATACAACATCACAGGAAAGGTCAATTTTTTCCATATTATCACCAGACATAGAACCACTGCCCCATATACAGACTATATTTTACAAAGTTTTGAAGTCAAGTCTTACGAAGTTTCATCCAAAGTGACGAACTTGCTTTTTACGAAACAAAGTCTAAGGTAAATCCAAAGCTCTTCTTTTTGTAATATAGAAAATCACAGAGAAAGGAATTTGTTTTAAGTATTATCACCAGACATGGAACCACTGCCCCATAAAAACTATATCTTACAAAGTCTTAGAGCCAAGTCAAGCCAACGCATGCGAACAAAAATGAGCAAGATCAAGGCCCCGTCTGATTAAAGAGTTGATATCAATTGCAACTATGAACATGAGAGATAGGAGACTGCAAACTTGTGGTTGATCGGAGGATTTGCAATTGATTTGGATCAATCACAATTCTTGATAGACAACAACAATGATATTGGCATTGGTATTTATTTTCAATATCACAATATTAAAAACAATACATAGAAAATGCATGTACATATAATGGTATAGTGAATGGCCGGATAACCCATTCAGCTTTGTTAGTAAAACAAAACTGTTCTTCCCTGGTAACATATTAGAGAAGCATAAACACCCCCCCCATTCCAAGCATGTTCCATGCCAGATCAGAGCAGTTTCTTAAATTAAGATTTTTGCAAAAAGTTTTTAAGCTGTTGGATAGCTTAATAGTTAACGGTAGGCCATTGTACTCACGTGAGC